TGTGGTCATCCGTTTGGTCATGACGATATTTCCAATCCAAATACGCCGCTGCGGTAAAGTTCCCACCAGAAATACAGCTTATGTAGTCGACCTGAATGTTCTTTTGAAGAAGACGACGAAGAATTCCCGAACTGAATGCTGCACTTCTTATTCCACCTCCAGAGAATGKTAACCCAATGCTGTTGTCCTTTGTGTCTTTGTRGTCGRCCATTTCGTTGTTATCAACGAGTACTCTCAATAGTCCTCTAGTTCCTGTTTAAAAGCAATGAGGGAGTTTGTTGTTGGTACTTTGCATTGAGCTTTTAAAAGCTGTTAAGGTCTTGCCTGCTGTMGGTACTGTATGTGAATGGGCTAATCTTACTTTGTGACAGCATAAAATGATTGTTTGCAACATTAGCAACGACATTTTGATCACCCACTATGTTGTCAGTTCTCTGTTGACAGTGGAAAATATTTCATGCTMGAACTAGGTAACTAAAAAAGYACTAGGAATGTCGGTACCCGCAGAACGACTCATTCACTGCATTTTCTTCATCATACGGTTCTGTTTTTACTCTAAAGAAAAAGAAGAAGAAAAGACTATAATAGGTTGAGGATYGTAATTTACATTTCTAATGTTTTCTTGGCGACTGCTTAAATTCATTGTTGCAAATATTGACACAAATCACGACATTTTAATTACCCATTTTGCGGTCAGTTGTCCGTTGGTAGTAGAAAKGTTTATTCTGGAACCAGGGAACAAAACCATAACCGAAAGAATGTACCAACTGAACGTCGATCCATATTTGACTATTGGCAAAGTTGACGCTGATAATGACATTTTMACCACACACTTTGTGGTCAGTTGTCCATTGTCAGGGGAAAACCATTAAACTGGAACTAGGAGGCTAGTTCCTTTCATATTGTTAGTGAAGAAAGTCAAATTTTAAATTGATTGGAAGATGGATCGACACTTCAGAACCAATTTCTCTTGCTTGACAGTTAGATCCATATTCGTCATCGCTTGAGCAACGATACAACATTTTGTTCAGGATATTACCGATAAACAAGAATCGTAACTATTGTATATAATACTGTGACAGACTCTCTTATAGAAAGGGTGTGGACGATCGTCGGAAATATMAAAAAATGACCCTATATCAGATGTCTTACGAGGGTACCCGATAAGACTTTTAAAGACCAGTTAGACGTTGATGTGTCAAAAACTTTCGAAACACCCTAAATGATAAAATATCCGTAAAATATAGGAGGATCATCCTCGCCATAAGATACATGGAAATCTTCCCTTCCGCACGGATATATGTTCCAATCAAGTAGCTTGAAATTCCTTTTTTT